TTATTTATTTATTTATTTATGAGACTTATATACTGCTTTAAGTGCAAGCACTCTCTAAGCGGTGTACACCAGTAAGCAATGTATATATATATTTACATTGCCCCCAACAATCTGGGTCCTCATTTTACCTACCCCAGGAGGATGGAAGGCTGAGTCAACCTTGAGCCGATGAGATTTGAACCGCTGACCTGCTGAACACAGTCAGCTAAAGTGGCCTGCAGTACTGCACTCTAACTGCTGCGCCACCTCGGCTCTGTTAACAGTACTCTGTGCCTCTGTTGTATCCAACTGACCAAAATGATGGGTAATTTTACCTCATGATTGCTCTCTAAATGAGGGATTTTTCTCTTTAGCTATTTAATTATACAGTAGTCCTCAACTTACAACAATTCATTTAGTGACCGTTCGAAGTTACAACAGCACTGAAAAAGTTACTTATGACTGTTTTCCACACTTATGACCATTACAGCATCCCCATGGTCACGTGATCAAAATTCACAGATGCTTAGAGACCTATTCATATTTATGACGGTTGCAGTGTCCTGGGGTCACGTGATCAGCTTTTGTGAACTTCTGACAAGCAAAGTCAATGGGGAAGCCAAATTCATTCAACAACTGTGTTACTAACTTAACATCTGCAGTGATTCATTTAACATGCTGGCAAAAAAAAAGATTGTAAAATGGGGCAAAACCCACTTAACAAATGTTTCAAGTAGCAACATAAATTTTGGGCTCAATTGTGGTCATAAGTCGAGGATCCCCTGTATTTCTGAAGTAGAAGAATTCTGCAAAGAAGAGTAGAGACGGGTTCCAAATGCAAGAATAGAAAGACTCTTAAACTATTAACATAAAATGTTTGAAAGCACTTATTTCTGCCAAAAGAAGCATTATAGGTAGACCTCAACCTATGGCTACAATTGAGCCCAAAATTTCTATTGCTAAAATAGAGACAGTTGTTAAATGAATTTTGTCCCATTTTGCCCCATTTTGCCACAGTTCTTATGTGAATCACTGCAGTTGTTAAGTTAGTAACATGGTTGTTAAGTGAATCTGGCTGCCCCATTGACTTTGCTCAAGTTTCCACCTTCCATTATATATTCAAGATGGACAGTATTTAATATTTATTTGTCATGTACATGTAGGGGTGTGGGTCTATACATATGTTGTACATAGTATGTTTAGGTGTGTGTCATGTATATGTTTTCACTTGAGAGTGGGCAACTAAATTTCATTTTTGATGTGTGCCGTTGTGCCCACAGTAAAAAAATGACAATAAAGGTTATCTTATCTTATTAGAACAGTGGTTCTCAACCTGTGAGTCGGGACCCCATTTGGGGTCGAACGACCATTTCACGGAGGTCGCCAAACAACGCAGTCTGCCATTTTTCTCCCCCTTTTCCTTAGCTGTGCTACTCCCTTTTATTCTATTGGCTTTTGAAAGCCAATAGAATAGACTCTCTTGAATAGAGTCTAATTCTATTGGCTTTCAAAAGCCAATATGAATTGTCCAGGCTGTCTCTGCCCTGCTGAGCCTGCCAAAAGTCCCATTCTGCAAACGGTGCTGCACCAGTTGAGTAGTCCTCGACTTACGACCAGTTGAGTAGTCCTCGACTTACGACTGGTTGGGGGTCGTGGCATTAAAAAGGTTGAGAACCATTGTATTAGAAGGTTGCAGAAAATGATCACATGATCCAGAGACACTGCAATTGTCATAAATATAAATTGCCAAGCTTCTGAATTTTGATCACATGATCATGGGAATGCTGCAATGGTTGCGTGAAAAAACAGTCATAAATCACTTTTTTCAGTGCTGCTGTATCTTTGAACGATCGCTAAATGAAAAGTGCTACCTGTACACAGTTTGGACAGGAAGGGTATCCAAAGTTCGGCACCTGCCATATTCATCATTCTCTTATTTAGAATGTACAAACGAAAGCATATTAAATATGCATTTAAATTTTCAGAAGGATGTTGTGTTCAACTGTCCATGATGTCAGCCCCTACTGACATTCACTTACTGAATAAGAGAATAGAATAGAATTCTCATTGAATCTTACAGTGTGATCAAGTTGAGATGCAACGTTATGTTTTTTATTGATAGACTTATATTCCTTGAATTATCCAAAGCTCTCTGGTTTTTTAGCCATCACCATATACTTTTGTAGGAAATTCCATAATTCACCTATGTTCTCTGTGAAGGACATATCTTATTCTTGTCTTGCCTTGCCTTGCCTTGCCCTGCCCTGCCCTGCCCTGCCCTGCCTTGCCTTGCCTTGCCTTATCTTAATCTGTTCTGAATCTCTTCCCTCCTGCTTCGAGTAAAAGCATAGGGCCATGATACGATATGATGGCAGCTGGTGTTTTTACGTGTAGCCAAGAATGAAACGCCACAGTCATAGCATTCTCACTGGAATACATTATCACCGAACGAGGTCGTAATTTAATATAGATGCGCTGACATAAAACAATTCACTCCTACACTCTGATTGAAAATAATTTTTCATCAAGTCACCTCCTATAACTATTCTTTGCACTATGCCAGACAAGGGACATTTCCTTAAGCTTAGTTCAATTGCTAACTACTCACTCTTAAGCTAGTGCATACTGACATAAAATATGATGCTACCACTGCCCATCTCTATTTTGCTTCAAGAATATCTTCAGCTTCTTGGATGAGAAACACAATGTTTTCAAGAAAAAAACCAAGAAAATCCAGTTGTCTTTTGAACAGCACCTTTAGGATAATCATGAGCTGGATGATTGAGAGTCTCCATAGATACTAGTAGACCCAAAGGTTTCACCATCTATCAAAATGAGGCAACTCCAGCCTGCTTTATGTATGTGTATTGAGAAGTGTGTTGGGGGGGGGAGATATATATTTATTTATTAAATTTATATGCCACCCATCTCAGGGTCAAGCTGCTCTGAGCACCTTATAACATCATAAAATCAAAACTGCAATCATTTAAACATTAAAAATTAACAGACATTGGATGTTAAGAACTAGTATATAGGTGAGGTGGACCTGTAGTCTTCCTTTTAGTCAACTGAACACTTCCAGTGGGGAAAAAACCCATTGGAATATCCCCGCCAGATCAGGTGGGGCAGGCCAATTCCATTGGGATGAGATGGGTCCTTGGGTAGCCTGGTCCCAATATGGATGCCCAATCAAATTGGGGGTACTTTCAAATCTGCCTTTTCCCAAAGTCTACAGATCAGCTACCCAAGGGGCTTTATGGTGAGTATGTGTTTAGTGCTATCTTTCCAAAAAGCACTAGAAAAGTACTTTTTTACTTCGTGGTGATGTAAAAAAAGATGTAGAGACTCTAGAAAAAGTGCAGACAAGAGCAGGGGACTGGAGGCTGAAACATATATGTCTAGTTTAATGAAATGGGTATGTCTAGTTTAATGAAATGAAGGAACAGGGACGACATGATAGCAGTGTTCCAATATCTCAGGGGCTGCCACAAAGAAGGGGGGGGGTCAACCTATTCTCCAAAGCACCTGAAGGCAAGACAAGAAGCAATGGATGGAAACTAATCAAGGAGAGAAACAATGTAGAACTAAGGAGAAATTTCTGACAGTGAAAACAATTAATCAGTGGAACAACCTGCCTCCAGAAGTTGTGGGTGCTCCATCACTGGAGGCGTTTAAGAACAGCCATTTGTCTGAAATGGACAGCCATTTGTCTGAAATGGTATAGGATTTCCTACCTAAGCAGGGGGTTGGACTAGAAGACCTCCAAGGTCCCTTCCAATTCTGTTAAATGTTTATACTAATCAGCCAGACCATGGATTAGTAGGATATGGGAGTTCCCTCATAAAGCAGAATACATTCTCCTATTTGATTAGCCACTTTATTTATTTTATTTTTATTGGCTTTGATTTAAAGAATGCCCAACTCTAGTTGCCTCTGGGCACTTTGCATCATAAAAAGGCAAAACAATGGAAGGCAAACAGGAACAAAAAAGAACATTGCTTCTGAAGGCTTTGTTCACAGGTAGTCCTTGAGTTACAACCATTTGTTCAAAGTTACAATGGCACTAAAAAGGGACTTACAACCAGCTTCAGACTTAACAGCTGGTCTTTGGACTTACATCCTTCGTACCATCTGACATTCCGTAGTCCCGTCATCAAAATTTGGGTGGATTGGCAACTTGCATGTATTAAAGATGGCTGCAGTGTCCTGGGTCATGTGATCCCCATATACAATCTGCCCACGGACTTCGAACAAGCAAAGTAAATGGGGGAAGGTGGATAGACTTAATGACTGCAGCAATTCATTTAACAAGAGTGACAAAAACAGTCATAAAAATTCTTCTTTTTATTCGTAGCAATGGAAATTCTGATCCTAATTGTGATCCTATGACCTAAGTCGAGGTCTACCTGTAGACCAGGGGTGTCAAACTCAATTTCACTGAGGGACGCATCAGCATTGCGGTTGCCCTGGGAGGGCCAGGTGGGTGTGGCCAGAGTGGGTGCAGCCTACTGGGTAGGCATGGATGGAGTGGGTGTGGCCTACTGGGTGGGCGTGGCCAGTTCTACATCATTCATGTCAAGGGTGCCTATGGGGGCCTGGGCAGGAGTGGGACAGATCTGAGGGTCTCTGGCAGAAGAGGGTGGGACCGGGGCAAGTGCCAAGGAATGGTCCACCGGGGCAAGTGCCAAGATGGCCACCACAAAATTGTACATTGGCTCCCGGCTGGCCTGGGCCAGGGCCAAGGCAGTGGAGGCCGTTCCCTTACTGTTTCCAGGATGGCTTTGCGAGCCACATGAAACCACTTCGCAAGCTGCCTCCGGCCCCGGGCCTTGTGTTTGACATGTCTGCTGTAGACAATGCCCGGCTGGCTTTTCTAGGGACTATGATTATTTTTACCTTGTGTCTCTTTGGTTGTGATTTCTCTCCCACCCAGTAACCTGACCAAACTTTTCCCCTCTTTCTACAACCTGGTGCTCCAAAGTCATCACCATAACTTTTGTCCGTTCCAAAGGTATGCGTACCTGTTTGGTGGTGTATATAGTCCCGTCATTCCTCACCTTGAAGTCCAAGCTGTCACTTTCGTACGGCGTTCCCTTGCTCTCCGAGCAGCCGCTAACTTTCACTGGAAAGGGAGGCAGAAGAGATAAGGATTAATCATGCTGTTGTTATTAGCATCATTAGTGTTATCAGTATGCTTATTAAGGGATCAGTGTTGGAAAATTCTGAACAGAGGAGCATAAGCAGGAAGAAAAAAAACAACCCACTAAATTGGTCCCTCCTGTGAGAATTTACAACCTACATTTTTGACATTAGAGGAGAGAAGAGGACAGCAAGAATAGAATAGAGCTGGAAGGGACCTTGGAGGTCTTCTAGTCCAGCCCCCTGTTCAAGCAAGAGAATCTATACCATTTCAGACAAGTGACTGTCTAGCCTCTTTTTAAAAATCTGCAATGATGGAGTGTCCACGATTTCTGGGGGCAAGCTGTTCCAGTGGTTAATTGTCCTCACTGTCAGGAAGTTTCTCCTTAATTCCAGGTTGCTTCTCTCTTTGATCAGTTTCCAACCATTGTTTCTTGTCCTGCCCTCTGGTGCTTTGGTGAATAACGTGACCCCCTCTTCTTTATGGCAGCCCCCTCAAATACTGGAACACTGCTATCAGGTCTCCTCTATTTTTCTTTAGACTAGCCAAACCCAAGTCCTGCAGCCGTTTTTCGTATGTTTTAGTCTCCAGGCCTTGGATCATCTTAGTTGCTTTTCTCTGAATTTTTCCCAAACTCTCAACATCTTTTTTGTGATATGGTAACCAAAGTTGGCTGCAGTATTCCAGGTGTGGCCTTACTAGCAGTTGGATATTAGCTCTGTATTTTCTTTCCATTGGATATGAGAATGTAATAATGATATTTTTCACACATTCTAGCTCAGAACTGGCTAGGAGAAGAAGGTCACCAGACACATGAATCCCATCCCCTAGGACCTCAGATCCTAAATATTTTTTTTTTATTTTTGCATTCAGCAAGATATTGATATGGAATGGAACTCTTGTTATAAGGTAGTCCTTGACTTACAACAATTAATTTGTTTGTCAACCTCCCTTGCATGGTTGTAGTCAAAATTCAGGCCTGACTCATATTTATGACAGTTCCAGTGTCCCGGATGTCAACACTGCAATGACCTTGGCTGAAGCCAAGTGATCAACTTTTGTGATCTTCTGGCAAGCAAACTCAATGGGGAAGTCCGATTCACTTAAAAAATGTCTTAGTTAATTACTTCAGTGATTCACTTAACAACCATGGCAAGAAAATCATAAAATGTGGCAAAACTCACTTAACAACGGTTTGGCTTAGCAATAGAAATTTTGGGGCTCAGTTGTGGCCGTTAAGTCGAGCATTGCCTGTATTTGACTAATCTCAAATAATTAGAACAGAGTGGGATATAGTTCATATACTAATGGGCCGTGGTGGCACAGTAAATCACTTAAATTGCTTAAATATGAGCCAGCAGTGTGCTGCAGTTGCCAAAAAAGCCAACACAGTGCTGGGCTGCATTAACAGAGTGATAGATTCAAGGTCATGTGAAGTGTTAATTCCACTTTACAATGCCTTGGTAAAGCCACACTTGGAATACTGCATCCAGTTTTGGTCACCACAATGTAAAAAAGATGTTGAGACTCTAGAAAGAGTACAGAGAAGAGCAACAAAGATGATTAGGGGACTGGAGGCTAAAACTAGAGATCAGGGGGTTGGACTAGATGACCTCCAAGGTCCCTTCCAACTGTGTTGTTGTTGTTATTGTTATTGTTATTGTCGATCATCGCACAGTCAGCCAGATGTTCAGACTGGATTTGGCATTTTGTCTACCTATCGAGTCCTTACCCAGGACCTGGGATAGGCAGATGTGGATGTTTGATGGTATTACAGATATCGTCGCAGGATGGAAGCAGTTCCTAATAAGGCCGCCTTTTGCAATTGATTAATAGCGAATTTGTCAATGCCAATTGTGTTCAAGTGGTGCTCCAGTTGTTTTGGGATTGCACCAGGAGCCTATGACTATTGGTACTACCCTTGCTTGCTTTTGCCACAGTCTTTCTATTTCTATTTGTAGGTCTTTGTATTTTGTTATCTTCTCCAGTTCTTTCTCTTCTATTCTGCTATCTCCAGGCACTGCCACGTCCACTATCCAGACTACTACTACTACTACTACTACTACTACTACTACTACTTCTTCTTCTTCTTCTTCTTCTTCTTCTTCTTCTTCTTCTTCTTCTTCTTCTTCTTCTTCTTCTTCTTCTTCTTCTTATTCTTCTTATTCTTCTTATTATTATTTCAGTAGTTAGAATGCAGTACTGCAGGCTATTTCTGCTGCCTGCTGGCTGCCTGGAGTTTGGCACTTCAATTCTCACCCACTCAAGGTTGACTTAGACTTCCATTCTTCCGAGGTTGGTAAAATGAGGACCCAGATTGTTGGGGGCATATATGCTGAGTCTATCAACCGCTTAGAGGGGCTGTAAAAGCACTGTGAAGCAGTATATAAGTCTAAGTGCTATTGCTATTGCTAATTAGATTTTATGAAACAAATTTATATGGCTGCCCACTGTGACTCTGAGTGGCTTACAACATTAAAATATCACAGTGTAAAAACCTATAAACCCTTCATCTGCCCTAATGTTGGTAACCACACGCTTATTCATTTATTAAACAAGTTTATATGGCTGCCCAAGTTACACACAAGCAACATGGTAAAGAAAGAAAGTTTCTGTTTCTTAGTTTTGATCTAACCATAGGAAAAATATGTCCATGTATGTGTGGAATCCTTGATGCTCTCTCTGAACTTGATTGTTTTCTCTCTCAGCAATTCCCACTCCCTTCCAGCACTGATGACATTATCTAGTTGGGTAATGAAATGTTTCTGAGAAAACAACCAAGCTCAGAGAGAACCAAGAACCCCACAGTTTAACCCAGAGCTACAAATATTCTCTTCTATTGATGGATGTGTGTGCATGTGTTATGAATGCTGATTTAGTAGCCCCACTGCTATCTTTAGCATTGCCCACCATTAAACTATGTTTTAAGCAGTCTGGCCACAAGCAATCCTCAGAATCAACCAGATTGCCTATTCCTGGCTTAGATTATGAACATGTAGGTCCAATTCCCAACATGCTATTCGACAAAATGCTTACTGGATTATTTTGACAAGTGACAATGAAACAGATGCCCTGCCTCTGGGCAGCTGAGAGGCAGCTGATTAACCACTCAGGGAAACAAGCAAATGCATTAGATAATTTTTTGATCATATATGCAACACAGCTCTGAGGTAAAATACTTTGTGCACTAAACATAGTTCTTAGGTTAAGGATGTCCTAAACTGGGGGTAGGGAGAGGAAGAGGAAAACATTTCTGCTGCCATAAGTTCTTTGGGAGAAAAACTGGATAGGTTTTTGACAGTTATTTTTGTGGTCATGGATCCTACTTTACTGAGAGCAAACTTCTTTTTAGAGCAGGGGTCTTCAAACTTGGCCCTTTTATGACTTGTGGGCTTCAACTCCCAGAATTCCTCAGTCAGCGTGCCTGGCTGAGGAATTTTGGGAGTTGAAGTCCACAAGTCATAAAAGGGCCATGTTTGAAGACACCTGCTTTAGAGGCTCTTCTGTTTACAAACTGTCAAAAGAGGGTCTTTTAATTGGGAAGATGGTTTAAAGCAGGGGTAGGCAACCTTGGCTCTTATATGACTCGTGGACTTCAACTCCAGAATTCCTGAGCCAGCCATGCTGAGGGGAAAGGGAGAGGTTTCCAAGCTGAGCCATGTTGGCTCAGGAATTCTGGGAGTTGAAGTCCACGAGCCAAGGTTGCCTATCCCTGGTTTAAAGGAAAAAAAATGCTAAAGAAGAGAGAACATATGGGTCTTGGAGGTGCCCATTAGCTCCCAGACAGTATTTTGTATATACCCAAGGATCACCTGGTCACATGCACTGGTATACACTGAATCTTGATTTTAATAATCCTATTTCCGTTTCTCTGTCTTTCTTATTTTGTACATAGACGTACATCGCCTGCTTGTATGCACAAATACATTTCAATAAAACATGCATGGTTTCTAATCAAAATTGTAAAAGTATCTTGCAGAAATGGTTTCCTAGTTTGGGATATAGGTAGTATTACAACCGTTTGTTGACTGTTCAAACGGCACTGAAATCAGTTACGTCTGATCATTGTTCATGCTCACAACCATTGAAGTATGGTCACGTTGTCATGTGATCAAAATTTGGACACTTAGCAAGTGGTATGTGTTTATGACACTTGGGGTATCTCAGGGTCATGCGGTCCGCTTTTATGACCATCTGACAAGCAAAGTCAACAGAGAAGCCAAATTTACAAAATAGCTGTGTTACTAACTTAACAACTACAGTGATTTGCTTAACATTTGTGGCAAGGACGATCATAAAATGGGACAAAACACACTTAATAACTGTTTGGCTTAGCAACAGAAATTGTGGGCTTAACTGTGGTCATACGTTGTGGACTACCTTGCAATCCTGGCACTGAACTCACTAATACGCATATCCTATTTTAATTATTTGGTCTGGTTTTTTTTTTACTATATGAATTCTCCCATGAGATTTACTATTCCCTCTGTTTCTTACTAATGAGAGTTAAGGAGTAAGTGTATTATCTGTTTAGATAGTAGAACCTGGTGAAGAACAAAACAAGGCAGTGAAAATTCAGAGTAGTTCCAGGACCTAATGATTGAATTCATACCACATACTGACTGGCTTGAAATTAGTTTGAATAATTTTTCTGGTTGATTGTGTGGTGGGAACTCAGCCACTCTCGTCACATACTAAAGTAACCCATCATGATAAGACACAGCATTGATCTTCTTGATTTATACATGTTATGTTTCTGCTCTGTGAACTGCGCTGGTTGCCAATATGCTTCTAGGTTCAATTCATGTTATTAGTAGTTATCAATAAACTCTCCGAGGCATGGGACCAGGTCATTTGTAGTACTCCCCCTTCCTGATCAAGTCTAGCCATCCCATCAGATCTGGCAGGAGAGGAATGTTACAAGTCCTATCCATCTAGTGAAGAAAAGAAGAAAGCCTTCTCTTCATGGTTTTTGTTGTTTT